ATTGTATCTACCTCTAGCAGCTCATTCCATATGTGCATCACCCTCCGTGTGAAGAAGTCCCCTTAGGTCCCTTTTAAATCTTTCTTCCCTCACCTTAAACCTACGCCCTCTAGTTTTAGGCTCCCCCACCTTTGGAAAAAGACCTCGGCTATTCACTTTATCTATGACCCTCATGATTTTATAAACCTCTATAAGATCAGCCTTCAGCCTCCCATGCTCCAAAGAAAAAAGTCCCAGCATATTCAGCCTCTCCCTAAAGTTGAAACCCTCCAGTCCTGGCAACATCCTTCTAAATTTTTTCCATGTCCATTCTAGTTTAACAACATTCTTCATATAGCAGGGCGAACAGAAATGTACACAGTATTCTATACATTATCAGGTGTTCCACAGCCTTTCTCCCACACCTAACAAATCAACAGCTTTTTGAGGTGTGACCTGTGTACATCAACAGAGATTATGACAGAGTGATTGTGTGAATGGGACTGGTGAGCTGAAGGCTGAAGTTGAGACCCTGAAAAGAAAGCTCAGACGGCCCAACTAAAAATGTGGCATTGTGTGCGAAATGACCCAAGTGTGGGAAATGTTGTGCAGGCGTAAAGGAACTTAAAAAAAAACAGGAGCAAGGATAAGCCAACAGCCCTTTGCACCTGCTCCACCATTCAATGAGATTACACTGATCTTCTACTTCAAATACCACTACCCCTGTATCCCTTGTCATTTTTAATATGTAGAATGTTATCGATCTGTTTTAACATACTCAATGACGAAGCTGTCACAGTCCTCTGGTGCAGGGAATTACATCCTTCTGCACCCACACATATAGAGTGAAGCTTTCGGTTGGTGGTGGGGGTGGGATTATTATGACAACTAAGTGGCTACTATCCAAAAAAAATTCAATGGAAGTGGTTTTGTCTCATTAAAAAAAAAACAGTAAACCAGGGAGGTATAAATAATGAGTTCCATTTATAGGTACAGAAATGAAAAGAATGCAGGTCGCCACCATGGGTTTTATGGGTGTGTTAGATAAAAGTGGTGCAACTGAAATATGAGATAATCATCAGGAACAGCAACCTAACCAAACAGTCAAGATTTAAATTAAAATTAGAAAGATGTCATAAGTGCACAGTGCTGAATCACCTCATGAACATTTGCTCAGGTATTTGCACAGGGCAGTGCCAAACTTTGTTCCTGTTGTTCTGGTTTGATTGGTTTCTTTTATCTATTGAGCCATAAACACATTGACATTTTCTTGCATACACACCAAACATTTCACTTCCGTGAAAGATTTCAAACGTGTTTAATATGTGTGATCATAGCAGGACAGGCAAGCAGCTGCAGCAAGGGACTAGGGACTCAACGTATAACCGTAAGGAGTGCAGGACGTGGGTTCAAACCGTACCTTGAGCTGATGATTTTAATGCTGCCATCAGCGGGTGGTACTGAGCGGATGTTATATATTTTTATTGGTGTGGGTGGAAATACAGGTAGAGGATTCTGTGGGCCAGATTTTCCAGGCTACCACCAGGTGAGTAAAACCAGATTAAACGTATCATTTCTACTGACAAAGGTATAGTTGATCACCTTTATTGAACTGGTCTTGAACTAAAAATCCAAGCAATCCAGAACCATTCCTGCTAATCCATATGACCCAGGCAGCTCCCATATAAATCTTGATCACTTTGACAAAAGGCAAAGTAAAACCTTGTAAGCTGACCAGATCAATCACCATACATGCAAATTCCATGATCAAACCAAATAGTGAGAACAACAGTACACAGGCAAAAAACATTACATCATGGGAAATGAACACAAAAGTTACAGTGACCTCCCTTTTGACACATACAAGTCAGACCTCGATCACTCTACGGATCCTCAAGTACACACACTCAGCATCCCATTTCCTACAGACTGAGGGGGTGGCCCTGGGCACCTGCATGGGCCCAAGCTATGCCTGCGTCTTCATAGGATACATGGAACAGGCCCTCTTCCGCTGCTACATTGGCACTAACCCCCACCTCTTCCTCCATTACATCGATGACTGCATCCGCGCTGCCTCGTGCTCTCATGAGGAGCTTGAACAGTTCATCAACTTTACTAACACCTTTCACCCCAACCTCAAATTCACCTGGAACATCTCCAATACCTCTCTCCCCCTCCTGGACCTCTGTCTCCATCTCTGGTGACCGCCTCGAAACTGACATCTATTTCAAGCCCACCAACTCCCACAGCAACTAGACCACATCTCCTCTCACTCACCTTCCTGAAAGAATGCAATCCCCTACTCCCGATTCCTCTGCCTCCTCCACATCTGCTCCCAAGATGGGGCGTTCCACTCCCGGACATCCCAGATGTCCTCTCATTTCAAGGACCGCAACTTTGGTGGTTGAAAATGCCCTCAACTGCATCTCTTGCGTGTCCTGCACTTCTGCCCTCACACCCCCTCCCCCAACAAAAGCAAAGACAGGATTCCCCTTGTCCTCACATATCACCACACCAACCTCCGCATCCAACATATCATTCTCCACCACTTCTGCCTCCTACAATCCGATCCCACAACCAAAGAAATATTTCCCTCCCCACCCCTATCTGCCTATCGTAGGGACTACTCTTTCCATGACTCCCTCATCAACTCCACACTCCCCACTAACCTCACCACCCCTGGTACCTTTCCCTGCAACCGCAGGAAGTGCTACACCCCTCCCCTCACCTCCATTCAAGGCCCAAAGCAACCTTTCCATATTAGAAAGGGGTTCACCTGCACATCTGTCAACTTGGTCTACTGCATCTGCTGCTGCCGATGTGGCCACCTCTATGTCGGTGAGAGCAAGCGGAGGCTCAGAGACCGTTTTGTAGAGTATCTGCACTCTGCTCACGACAAACAATAACACCTTCTGATCGCCAACAATTTTAACTCCCTCTCCCACTCCCTGGGTGACATGTCCATCCTGGGCCTCCTCCAGTGTCACAACGACGCCACCCACAAACTGGAGGAGCAGCACCTCATATTCCGCCTCGGGAGCCTACAGCCTAATGGCGTAAATGTGGATTTTACCAGTTTCAAAATGTCCCCACCTCTGGCCTCATCCCATGTCCAACACACCCTCTCATCCCCGCCTCCCTGACCTGACACAACCTGCCCATCTTCTCCCCCACCTATCCGCCCCTCCCACTTCACTGACCAATCCCCACCACTCCATCCCTGCACTCACCTATCACCATCCCACCTATCTTCCCCAGTCCCACCCATCCTCTCTCTATTTATTTCAGAGCTCCCTACACCCTCCCCCATTTCTGAAGAAGGGTCCCGAACCAAAATGTCAACTTTCCTGCTCCTCTGATGCTGCCTGGCCTGCTGCGTTCCTCCAGCTCTACACTGTGTTACCTCGATCTTTCATTCACCAGTTTTACCCGTTTTTCTTTGAAGCATTGTCAAATGATCATGATTTTCCAATCATGCCTTTTTCTCTGAATACTCCAGTGTGTGAACATTTTTTTTATATACCATGTGACTTGACACAATATATGTGCTCTCGATTCAAGTGAAGCTATTTTCTTAAATTATGATATTTTAAAAATAAAGCAGTTTCACAGCTGGAACCCTTTTTCAAAAAGATCATAATTGACAGCTTTTGTTCTGGTTCACATATTTATGAATATTGTTGTTTAAATAGGGAGTCTTTTCAAGTCCTTGAGATGTTTTTTGGGGTTTTGCTTGCTAAACCAAACAATAGAAGGGGGCTGCTGATTACCATTCCCTGCTGAATTATCAACCTCATCTACCTTAATTCATTCCCGACTAGCCTCAGTAATTCCTACAAGATGACCTCCAAACCATGTGATATGAAGCAGGGGAAAGAGATTTAAAACAGACATCTAAAACAAAGCTCAATTTTTTTTTGTTATTCATTTGAATTTTAAAATGAACCTCTGATAGTCAGGTTCCTTCTTTAAGTTAGTCCAGGTCTGCATGTCTACAGATCTCTGAAGGTGACAAGACAGAAGATGGTCAAGACAACATCTGGGATGCTTTCTTCCATTGGATGAGGTACTAAATACAAAAGCAGGAATGTAACGCTGGAACTATATGAGACACTGGTTAGGCCACGACTGGAGTTTTGTGTACAGTTCTGGTCACCACAATACAGGAAAGATGTAACTGCTTTAGACAGAGTACAGAAGACATTTACAAGAATGTTAGCAGGCTTGAAAACTGCATCTGTGGAGAAAGGTTGAATAGGCTATAGTTGTTTTCCTTAGAACAGAGGAGACTGTAAATTAATTGTGCAGTGCAACATGATGAGGAGCTTGAATAGAATCAACAGGAAGCTCGGTTTCCCTCAGCAGAGAAGTCAATTATGGGGACACAGATTTGAGGTAACTTGGTAGAAGGACATGGGCATTTGGAATTCACTGCGCAGTTGATGGTCAGGGCTGGGCCCCTTGATTCATTTAGAAGGAACATGGGTCTGCACCTGACATGCTGTAGGCTGCAGGGCCGCAGACCAGGTGCTGAGAAGTGGGGACTGAATGACCTTTCTCTGTGCCATACCTTTTCAATGATTTTATATGAATATCACAATCAGGAATCCTGATAACAACGTTACGAGAGTTCTGCAGACTGCAGAAAAGGTTTGCAGTATAAAAGTACTACTGATGAGGTAATATTTAATACAAATCATGTAACTGTGAGGCATTTGTCTTTTCTTCACAATTTAACAAAGGAGGAAATCGTCCCAGGTGATTGTGTCATAACGATGAAGCACAGTCCCAGCCAGTAACAGGTGAACAGGTTGGATGAAATGCATTATTTGAACACCAGGAAACTCATTTGGCAGATTGAGTCAATATCAGCAAGAGCTCTCATCTGTAGAACCTGACAGCAAATATTTTACCATACTGACAGTTTTGTTCCCATGTGAAATGGCTTGGCCTTCAAACTTAACAATTTACAAACTATAACATCTAGTATTCTCCAGCATTTAACAGAATTTTTGTCTTACCTCTTTAGCATCTTTGATTTTCACCAGGAAAGTCCGTAACTCCAACGTTTCCACAAACAATGCCCTGCAGACTGCTTGAAAATGTGAATCTGCTTCATTACGATTCAATAAATGTGCCGCACACGCCTTCATTACTTGTTCAAAAGTCTTCACTGAACGTAGTGGTATATCACCCTCTTCCTCATCATCTTGCCCGCTGTACCCCTCGTCAGCTGTACCATTACTACCTTCAGAGTCATTGTTTGCCATCTGGTCAATAAGCTGCTCCAACTGCTGACTCAACTCCCGCTCCTCATTCTCATCCAAGCCCCAATCTAATGCTCGGTAAATAGCAAATCCCAGGGATTGCACTATCTGGAAGAAGAAATTCATCAAGTAAAAAGACATGGAATTCAATATTTCATTAACAGAACACTCACCACCATCGCCCTACCAAAAATATAACAAACAGATACAATGGCAGCATAAGAACGGCTAGTTTTAAAGATTGTGAATCTGTTGCTTGATTATGCTTGTGTGAAGCACCTGGGGTTGTGCAATAATTATAAGTTATTGTGTCAACGTAATCTGCTTTTCAAATTTCTCATAATCAACTGCAGCAATGTAGTTTATTTTACTGTTTGCTGTAAGTGCATTTATTCTATTTTCTTCATTTAGCATGCACTCATTTATTGTTCTGAAGTCATGACTACAGTTATGCCATTTCTCCAAATTTGTGTTATATGCACAGTGATCTTCAGAGTTACGGCCATTTCAGGGTTATAGATCCTCTTTTCAATTCTCGAGTTACTGGGTCACTTGATATTTTATCACTTTAAAAGGTTAGCATGTAATATGTGCATGAAATCACCTGTTGTAAATATACTGAACAAGAGAATTTACTTTCAAATAATATTGCGTCATTCTAGTTTAATAAACAATTTCAAAGAGATCACCACGTTGAAACTCTACTTCGCTTTCAAATACAAAAGTGAACAAAATGAGGGAACCCCACAGGAACCTCTTTTCAATGGACCGGAAGCAATCTTCAAATATTTCTGGAAACTAATCTCCAAACCTCACACCAAGAAAGGATAGCCACATTATGTATTAGCATAAAAATGGGATGATCTTTGATACAAAGGCTAAAACGTGTGAGCCTTTTCCACAAATGGATATACGTTCTCCATGCCTTGCTGCTCTTTCAGTCTGCTGGTTCTCTCTCTGTACTGCTGACTCAATAGGGATGTGATCTGCCAAGGCCTGTCACTAGATGAATTCTTCACACAGCAACAACTCACATCTGCTTATTCTCCATCTCACAGGCCAGCACAGCTAAGGGTAGGAACTTACCATGTGGGGATCCTACATAGCAGGATATTAATTCTACCTATTTGGCAGAAACCAAACAGGAGAACAAGCAACAATGAAGAAGTGACTGCTCAAAGCTTGACCCACTCCTATTTGTTCTAATTTTATCTGCAGGGCTGTGCAAGCAGATCAAATGGCAACCTAAAGCCTACAGGAGAGTGATGAATTGATGCAAATCAAGGTTTAATCAACAGAATCTCAATGCCATTTAACCCAAGCTTGCTTCAGTGTGGAAAATGCTCTGGATTCTGGCCAGGCTACAACAGGTTGACAGTGGTGTGAGGAATGAAGAAGATCAGCAGATGTTAAAATCAGTAAATGTTATATTTCCTTTGACAGATCAGAAGGAGCAGGATGTCCCTGCAGATTCCCTTGTTTCCTTGATTCCTGCCATACCCTCTGAAACTTTTATTGTCACCACCTTTCTGGCAGAAAGCAAATAGCCAAGGACAGTCTGATTTTCTCCTGTCAGTAGCCATTCTGGACCTCCTGCTAACTCCCTGGTTTTTAAGAATGGCAAGGAAGTGGATCAAACACATTTAAATGAGACCCAGGTGTTAAAACATTCCTGGTGGGAAATGCAAACCAGCGACTGTTGTATCAGTTTCATATCCACCAAGAAAATTACCTAGGGTTAACTTTAATCCCGTGATATGCTGAAGCCTTCCACCAAACATGTACATTTTGCATTTTTGGTTTTCTACTTTTTATTAGGTTTTCTTTTCTTTTGTTCTAGCTTCATACAGTTAATTATTTTGTTAACTGTTGAATTGTTAATAAGTTTAAGCTTATTTGGCTTCTTTGTCCCAACAGAGAGAGCATTCAAACAAATGCTCATCTCTTACAACATAGCACAATCCCTCCCCACTTAGAAACAACAATTTATACAATAAATTATAACATCGTACATACATGTAAATTCCCAGTGTACAAACTGACTAAACCAACATTAACAACACCCAAATATTTTAACAGGTCAGGTTGCATAATTGCTTAAACTGTAATTAAAAACATGTATGACTGATACTATCAGAATAACTTACATGTAAAAACAAGATTTTCTTTAACACTTGTGTGATTTATAAAAGGAAATAAAAAAAATTCAATGTTTTCTTCTTCCTTTCTATATACTTTCCATTAACATATCTGGCTTCTTTTTCTTCTTCAAGACATCAAGAAATTCGCATCTCTTGCTTTATCATACTTGCTTAATAACACATCGGAGATGAAAGTGTTAAGTTTGAAAAAGACAATGGAACTACACTTAGAAAATACAAATGAGCCATATTTTAGTAGCTTGCTTTGAGTAACATAGCACAGCGAAAGCAACAAGGATAACAACAATCAGGATATTGAAAACTCTTCTCATCTCTCTCAACCTCAAGCTCCTCCTTCCCCCACCCACCTTTCAGTAGTAAGCTCAATACCTGTATTTGCATGTGTTTGTTGTCGCATTTATTATTTTTTCAGGAAATAAAATCACACTCTCTCACTTAAGAAAAGGAATGAGTTCTCCTTCATTTATGATCTAGTTAACTAATTTTTAATGAAGCATGATAGCTATCTATTTATAAGGGAAAATCTAAAAAAAATGTTGTGAATGACCAAGGGGGTGCTAGAAAAAAGGAGAGCTATGTCCACTCAATCTGGTCAGAGCAAAGTAATTTCACATAATTAGTTCCTAACTTTTTATGACTAATGTAATAACTATCGCACTTCTTTAAAAAGTAGAATGTTATGTATAAGTCTGACTGTTTCAATCTAATGCAAGAAAGTTAAAAATGATTAACAATTGACTTTTATAAATAAATTGAACACCCCGAGAGTATGATACTCTTTTGTCCAAAAACACCATTTATAGTATTGATTAAATGATAAATTGTTGTGTTTGCTCTTCTGAGCTAAAGCAGCACAGTACAATCAGTCTTTAGCCTGGCAATGCCTCCACTCAAGTTCTGCGTGACAATTCTGCGGCACATGTTTCTCTCTTAACTTCTCCAACCACCTGTCTTCCACCAGTTTTTCAGCAGTCTTTTGTATTTTCTATTTTAAACTCTGCAGTATTTCTTGCCGTTTATCATTGGTCTCCAGTACAGCATCCACTAATTCAGTGTGGTGTTAAACTGCATTAGTTTATTAATTTGTTACAGAATTTCATAGAATTATTACAGCAGGAGGCGGCCATTTGGTCCATCATGCCTACATCAGCTCTGTTATTGAGTGCACAGCACTATTGTTCTTTTCCTTTTCAAGTTCTTGCATGTGATGTTAAAGTTCTGGTCTCAACTTCAGCATCTCCCTCTTAAGACTCATTCTACGCTAAATAACAGCTTACAGTTTACCTTTCTATTCAGTCTGCCCCATTAATTCCTGCTTAGCCTTCAGTATTTCCAGGTCAGTGACAATAGTTTTTCATTCCAACTTTTCATCGTGTTATGAAATTGTGTTGACATTAACATAGAACACAGTTTAGACAGGAGAGAGCACTCCTTGACCTTGCTGGCTCAGTCCGAAATCCAAGTGTGCCTAGAGGTCAACAGGCATCACTAATGACATATTCATTAGCATAATGGGACTTAACCATTAAACTATTCTCCTACATCATGTTGTGGAGTTTTGAAATTTTTCTTTAGCTGCCCAAGCTTTCCAAATTAGTTGTCTCATTTTCTGTCAAGAGTTTTTGCCTTTCAATATCTGCCTTGAGAATTGCAATATCTGCTATAAGCCATTCATTTAACTTTCACCTTTTTCTCTCATCAAGCTGAAATTTATCCAATCTGTAGTCTCTCTGATCATGGTGATCAGTTTCTTACTTCTAATTGCTTGGAGGGGTGGTCACTTTTCAATGGATATACTACCAACAGTGACACCTTCTTAACCTTAAGGTTTACTGAAATCAGCTGCAACTCTTGGCAACAGGAGGAAAGGACCATCTTTTCCTGTGCTTTGGAACATACAGTTTACATGCTTTCAGTTATTCCTAGCTATCAAATCTCAGATTCCTCATTTGCCATGATGTTATTTGGTTTCACAATATCTATTTTTGGGTGACTTGTTCCTTTCAAATTTTCTCAGGTGTAGTCTGAGCATCCTGTGATATTGTTATCTTCTTTTAGATACTTCAGAGTGAGCAGAACCCCAAATAAATACAGCTTTTAAACTTCCAACTGTTACCTTAAATTTATATTTTTGGGTTGCATTTTTCAATCTTGTTCAGAAATTGTCAACAGGCTGACTTGGTTCCTGCCTCAGACTTTTGAAATTCATATTGATGATGTGACTTTGATTAGAGTGTATGCTTTCAAAAGTTGTCAGGCGTTTTATGTCCAACCTCACTCATTTCACAGTTCAAAATAAAGGTGTCTCTCTTTCCCATCGATAAAAAGATGTAGCTAATTTGCTTGTGTATTTAAGATAGCTACCAAATATCAATCTGCATTTCTGTTTAAACTTCTCAAATGCCTATGGACATCATCAGCTTCTCCATTCATTTTAGGCTGTAGCCATGCATTCTTTGTGGCCATTTCATTTTTGCACCATTCCCTCTTTCTGGCGCTAATTTGGGTTGATTTTTCTTAATGTAATTCAACTTAAGACAAGATGTTTGAGTCTTACTCAGATACCTGTGGCCATCATGTTATATTTTCTAGCTCACAGATGTTCGAAATGGTCATTTTTTTAGACTCAAACAGCAGCTGTTGCTTCACCAGTTACAGTTCTCGCTGTTCTCCATGCTACTGGTGAATTGCTACATTGTTGCTCAGTACCTGAGCGAAGTGCAGCAGGAAATGTATATCCCGGATTGGGAGGAGTGGGTGAAAAAGAGCTTGTTTCCCTCAAAGTATCTTGAAAATATTTGTTCAGATTTTCTCCCAGACAATACAGTCAAGATCTGATGTTTACCAGGGAGAGAGTTGCAGTAGAAAACATGCAACGTATTGCTTTATGACAGTGCAGAGGACACAAACCCCACCTCAAAGTGACACATGTATGTATGCATAACA